GCAATAAGGTAGGCTTCCTTACACCACAGCAGGCTCCCAGGGAAGGCGTCTGGGGTGTCAAGGGTCGAAGCCCTAAGCCCAGGAGGTGGCAACTCTGGGCCACCTCGCTGCTCCATGTTCAACACCACCTAGTTTCTGGGTATAACGCCTTGAAGCAAGGAACCAGGGTTTGTGAGAGCCCTGGGCTCCCATCGCAGTGATGGTGGGTGGGGAGAAGGCAGGGGAGGATGGAAGCCAGAAGAAAAACAGCTGTTGGGTCAGTCCCAGGGGCTGGGGCCCTGGAACCATCAGGCAAGGGGAGAAAAGAAATCAGGCCACGGGTTTGTAGGAACTACAGAGTGCGCCCGTCCCCGGGACCCCTGCAGCTTTAGGATAGAGAAGGGCTGGAAGAGGGGAGAGGCAAATGAGGCAGCGTTGGTCATGTGCCTGGCATTGGGCCAGTGCCAATCCCACCTCATCCTCACAGCCACTCGGTGGTTGCCAACTGGGTGTGCTCGTGTCCCCCAAGGCAAACTTGGCAATGTCTGGAGACACTTGGGTTTGGTTGTCACAACTGGATGGTCTGGGGGAGGTTTGCACTGTTGTTCTCTAATGGGTAGGGGCCAGGGATGCTGCCAAATATCCTACAGTGCACAGGACACCCCTCAGACCAAATGTCAATAGTGCCAAAGAAAGCGACCCTTCTGTAAAGTGAGGATGTCATTGGCCCCATTCTGCAGATGAGAAAACTGAGGTTTAAAGAGGTGAAGTGACTTTATGCAAACGGTTTGACTCCCATTTCATCCCTTGAGAGCCAGGTAGTGGCGGGGACATGGTACCTGGAGTCATTCGGCACAGTTGGCCGTGGGTGGGAGGAAGTGGAGGGCAGAGAAGAAGGGGAAGGAGGTGACAGTACCTGTCAGTGACAGGGCTGGTGGCAGAGGTCCAAGCTGTGGTCCCGCTGGGGTTGCTCCTGGTGGTAGGCAAGGTTGAAGCTGTAAGAGATGACAATGAGGGGAGCACTCCCATGTGTTTGCCCCAAACTCCCCACTTCTAGCCCTTGGCCCTGGGGAGGAGGAGCCCACACACGGCCCTTGGGCCAAGTGGGGACTCTGAGAAGCACCACATGCCCTGCAAACGAATGAAGGTGTTACTCTGTGTGGTGTGGGATTTCCCTCACAGTCAAGTGCTCCAGTGCAAGTGTCTTTATGTTAGGATCCCATGGTCACTGGTATATTGGATCTATTGCACAGTCTTTTCTGCTTTCATTGTTCTTGACCATGTCATGAACTCTCAACCTATAATGCATCCCTCCCACCTCCTCCCACTTTCGTCTCTTCTGGATCAATTCCTGCTCACTCATAAGGCCCAAGTGGTATCACCTCCAATGGGGAGTCCTCCAAGAGAATCCATACCACTGCTTTCTCCAGGAGCCTTGTCCTCCCTTCACTGGGCCGCCATCCAACATGCTTCCATTAGGCCACCTACCACCCACCATCCTAATCCTTCACTTATGTGTCCGCCTTGGGTGCAGGGGTCGGAGGGGGCGCTGTGGAGGATCCAGCACAGGATAGTCTCTGGGTGTTTGATTCCCCTTCCGGAGTGCAGCCCCCGCCCTCCATGGAGTGGACAGTGAGCCATGGCTTGGGTGGTGACTGACCAAGCAGCTGACCAAGGTCCTCTGGGCGCCCAGCTCACCGAATGGCTGAGCAGGCTTGGCAGCTGGGCAGGGGTCTAGGAAGATGCCATTCAAGCCCTGGCCATCACAGGGAACCACAGGGGCTTTTGCAAGTCTTCAGTTTTTCAGGAAAAACACGCAGGACCTCATTCAGGAGTACCGTTCAGCTTCCCACCTGAGGGAAGTTCTCTTGACTCTAAAGAGCAGGTCCAAGTTGAAGACCCAGGCTCTCTGAGCCCTTGGCCGCTCCCTGTCTCACCCCCAAAGTCCTGTGTCTGCCTCACTAGCTGGCTCTCTCCTGTCTGTCCACATTTTTTAACCCACCCAGTCACCTGCAACTCAAGCACAACCCTTCTAGAGAAGGTTAAGGGTTAGGGGTTAGGGCCAGGAGTCGAGATGCCCAGGAATGGCCCAATCAGCCAGTCTTGCTCAAACCTGAGGAGGCCTTACAGTCATTACAAATCAATGGATGAGTCTTGTTAGTAACCACAAAAATGTTCAGAGAAATGCATGTGGTGGGAAAGAAGAACCAAGTGAGCCAAGAGGTCTGAGTTCTGGTGCCGGATCTGCCCTTAACCAGCAGTGACCTTGGGCAAGGGGCACCGGTTTTTGGCTGTAAGAGCACTGAAGACAATTATTTTGGAGTCCTTCCTAGCTCTAACATCTTGTGATTTAGGACGACTGGGATACCACCAGACGGATGTTTCTATGAACAAAGATCCTGGGGGATTTGTAGATTCCACATGAATAAATCCAGAGTCTTCTGCCCTGAGCTCAGTCATGGTGATGATGAAGTAGCCCCAACTGACGTTATCCTGAATGGAGTTTCGAGGCTTCCAGGGCACTCCCGGGAGCCTGGGGTAGGTGGCTAACAGGGTACAGGTCCATGCTGATACCTGCCTGCACCAGACTTTCACCGGTTTTGAGCCTTGCTGGGACTGGTACGGGCACTTCACGGAGACTGACTTCCCTTCCAGTTGAGGCAGCGACTCTGGCTTCTGTTCCCACGAGCCTGAAAATACGCTCTCACGGCAGGGAGACATTCCTCAGATACTGCGGGGCTGTCAGGTGGGCATCTTGCCCCTCAGAATGTGCCCCAGACCCAGGGGTCTCTGGCCACAGCCCAGCCTGCCCTGGCCCTTCCTCTGCATTGCCTTCACGCCTGCCTCACTGGGCCATCTCCCCCTCCTTGTGTCCGGTTCCCTCCCTCTGCCCTCCTCATCACCTGAGGCCAGGAGCACCAGCAGGACAGGGGGCAGCAGGCGTGTGGCCTCCTGGGCCATGGGCCCTCTTCTTGAGCTGGGGTGGGAGCAGGGAAGCCCTGAGGAGAGGGAGCCAGTGCTGGGGCACAGGGGTGGGGATTCGGCCCAGCCACTCTCCCTTGTCCGGGGCGGGGTGGGGGGGGAAAGAGCTGAAGAAGGCAAAGTCTTCAAGGGGGCAGCAGGAGGCCTGGGAGGAGGGGAGGCCTTGGCCTATAGGCGGAACCCTCCTGCTGTGGGTGCTACATGTGCGCTGGCTCCGGTCTCAGGGCTGAGGCTCCAGGGGGACTCTGAAGCTTCTGTCGGCTCTCTCGTGCCCTGCCTCTTCCTCCTTGTCGCACTAGGGTCGGGGTGTAGAAGGCTGTGAAAGTCCAGGAAGAAACTGGTGAAACAAGAACCTATTTCTCCTTTCTCCATCTGTCCTCTATCCTACCACTTCCTCCCGGCCCCAACTACCGCCTCCTCACTCAAGTAAAAAGCCCTGGCTGAAGGTGAGTGACAGTTAGGGGACCTCTTTGGAGGTGCCCAGTGGTCTGAGACTTCCTGCCCAGGCCTGTCTGGGAGCCCAGGAGCTCTGTAGGGATTGGAAGGGCAGAGGAGAAAGGAGAGGGAGAGTCATTTCCAGGAATGGAGGTGCAGGAAATGCCCCTGGCAAGGGTGGGAGAGAGTGAAGCTGGGGACATGACTGGCAGGGTGGGGGGGGGGGGTAGAAGATAGATGCAGAAGGACGGGACCTGGAGGGGGTCTCCTCCTCCAGGCCACCCCATGTCCCCAGCTCTCAGCCTGCCATAATCACCCCATCAGCATTTGTCAAAAGACCACCATAATCAAGCACATTTTAAGGAATAATTGTCATTAGAAAAGCTACAGAAAAGCTATCACCACAGGCTCTTTACAACCAAGAAAGGAGAAAACCCCATGAAAATGCAGCGTGGCAGGTCGGGTTTGTGGGGCGCAGGCTGTGAGGTGGAGATTAGCACAGGAGGCTGAAAGTGCCCAGGGACCAGCCGGGATGGGAAGGACAGGCAGCAGGCCAGGGTGTGCAGCGTTCTGAGGACAGGATGCTCTCCTGGATGGCAAGGGGGTGTTGGGGCTTCAGACCCTGCAGCGGCCGGTTGGGGGTGGGGGGGTGGCGGGCTGCCCCGGGAGGGGCCTGGCTCTCTGCAGCTGGGGCAGCCCCCAAAGGGGGCCAGCAGAGGAGGCCTTCCTCTCTCACTGCTCCCAGCAGTGGGGCAAGTCCATCAGCCTGAAGGAGGAGCATCCACCGACTCAATATGATGCAGCCATGTGGGAGAACTGTGACCCTAAGTCTTGCTTGCTGGCCTCCCCGCAGGGGCTTGTGTGTCCCACGATGACAGATCTGCCTGCCACACTCTGCAGAGCAAATCCCCCTCGGTGCTGGGTTTTCTTTCCGCGTCCTTGCCCTTGGTCACGACAGGAAGCCCTTCCCAGGTGTGTCCCGTCGTCACAGCCCACTGCTCAGGAGGCTTTGTTGCCTTACCACTAAAGGCAACGGCTGCCCCGGCCTGTCTTGATACCCCCACCTGCCATGCACCTGCCTGCCCTCCGACTGCCGGGGCTCGGGGTCCACCTGTAGCTCCAGGGAAAGGAGGAAGAACAGGAAGGAGAAAATGAGAGGCTAGGGCTTTGAGGAAAATGTCCCAGAGCACTGGAGGTCCAAAGAGGCCACCCAGGCCCATCGGAGGTGGAGAGCTGGGGCAGGGGGTCTGGACCCCTTTCTCAGAGCCCTGTGTCCTTACTGTGGAGTTCATGTGGGAGCAGGCTCCATGGGTGGGCACCTCGTGCAGGCTCACGCCATTCCAGGAGCCCCTCATCCTGGGCAGAGAGGGATGGTAGGTCTCCTAACAGCTTCCCTGCCTAGCATCAGGGCACAGCCAAAGGCCTCCGCCTGGGTCCAGCCCCCACCACCTGGGGCCTGACCGTGTGACCCTCAACCCTCCCTGGCCCCTTCCAACTGAGGGCAAAACAGAGAAATAGGGTCCAAAGGTCTTCAATGCAGACAAAGCCCACTAGAGCTAGAGGAGAGCTTGAGGACCAGCAATCATGAGGCATTAACTCAGTTGTGTGAGGTTCAGGCCACTCCATTTTATCCTGAAAACAGTCTTGAGAGGTAGGAGTTAGTGTCCCTTTTCACAAGAGAGGAAAATGAGACCCGATGGGGTTAGTGACTCGCACAGGGTTACACAGTGACAGGTGGCCTCACTGAGTCCCAGTCCTGAGCCCTCTGCGGCTCTCCCACAGGACATCCTGTTCTCAGACGAGGCAGGGCTGTCAGCATGCTGTTGTAGGATCTCGAGTGGAGGGTGGCTCTTCGGGAGCTATTTTCCCCCAGGGAAGTTAAGCCCCCCTCCATTAGACACCAAGGTCGTGGCCACACCCTCCTGCTAAGGACGATGGATTTCAGTGTGTGTGTGTGTGTGTGTGTGTCCTGGCACCAGGCTTTTCTGTTCCTCGATCTGAGTCTCTCCTCTAGTGCCCTCTCCTGGACATAGGACAGAGGTGCCTCCTCCCTGCTGTCCCCCAGAATTACCTCCTGCCCCTTGCTCTCTCCCCACGTCCATTCTGGAGTGGCCCCCCAGCTACCCATCAAGGCCCGGTCTGTGTCACTCTCCTGACTGTGACATTTGCTCTCGCACCGGGGAGGTCCCTGCCCCGGGGCGCAGAGTGGAGATGTCACATCGATTCCTAGGTGCTTATTTCAGCTGCTCCAGGCTGGTGGAGCCCCTACTCCAGGGGACGAATCCAGCCCATATTCACCAGTCTTCATTGTAGAAGAAGCCAAGTCTGAGCCAAGAGCCAGTGAAGCAGAGGCCAGACTCCTAGGGCCATAGGACCCCTGGTGAGGCTCCTTGGCTCCATCCTCCCCACCCCTTCCCCACCCAGGCATCCCTCCAGGCTGTGCTCTGCTCCAAGCTGTGCTTGCTGGGTCACAAGTAGCTCCTCTCTTCCCAGGGGACAGTGAGTCCCAGGGGAAGGTGGATGATCTACTCTTTCTCGGAGCCGTGGCCTCCCCTGCCGTGGACTCTCAAGGGCCCTCAGTCTTCTGTGGGAGCTCAGACCTGGAGCTGGGAACCGAGGGAGAAAGCCCTGAGTGCAGCCTCTACACGCCAGTCTGGGGACAGGCTGGTCCTCGGAGCCGTGGCCTCCCCTGCTATGGACTCTCAAGGGCCCTCAGTCTCCTGTGGGAGCTCAGACCTGGAGCTGGGAACCGAGGGAGAAAGCCCTGAATGCAGCCTCTACACGCCAGTCTGGGCGACCTGGGAGGGCTGGCCAATGGGTAGCACCAGTGGGAGGGTGGGCTCTGCTGGCTCCCAGGACTTGAGGGACAAGCAGCTGCTGTCAGGACAGGACAAATCCAGACGCCCATCAGAGGACGCAGGGCCTTGAGGGTGGGGGACTTGGACCATTCTGGGGTCCCCTGCTGCCAACACCCCTGTGGACCTCCAGCTCTTAGTCACTGTTCCTTCCCCTCCAAGTCGGGGCCCTTGACACACTGGTTGCCTCTGGGACTCTTTCTTCCCCAAACCCATGGGAAGCTTGAGGGGAGCGGAGGGAAGCTGAAGACACAGGTTCCAGATGGGGAGAGGACCTCTTTCCCCCTGTCCGCTCCCTCCCCTCTGCTCCATAGCAAGGGGTTCCGAGGCCCACAGGACCTGGAGCTCTCTGTGTACAGCACCATCAGGACTTCCCCACCACCCAGCTGGGACCCAGGGCTCTGTGGCTCTGAGCAGAATCCCCTCAGTGGCTTCCCCTGGGGTTTCCTGCCTTGTACTCCCCAATCTGGGGGCTGTCCCAGGTTCCTGGCAGCTCAAGGGGACTGAGCAGGTGAAGAGCAGCCTCTGGTTCTGGGGAGGCCTGAGTCCAGCCTTGAGCAAGTTCTCAGCCTGGCTCCAGTTCAGACAGGTCCCCATCTTCACTCTCCTCTGGTCTCCAAAGGCCCCTCCAGGAGGAGCTCACACACTCCATATTTAAGTGGCCTCAGACCAAGCAGGCTTCCATGGAGGCTCCAGTCTTCCAAGTGGGTCCCTCCAGGGTCTAGTAGGATCATTGCACACCCTGTAGCCTGTGAGGACAAGGAGAGAGATGAAGAGGGGCAGGGTTCCTGCTCTCTCCTCTTCCCATGATCCTGGGCCAGTCCATCCCCTCTTCTGGCTCTGCCCTCTGCTTCCTGCCAGGTCAGCCCCAGAGGATCATGGTGTGCTGTTCCTGCCTGCCCACCCTCCTCCCTCGCCTGGGTGCCAAGTAGTCTTTGTGGCTGGACCCAGGGAAGGACATACCGCCTGGGGACAGAGTGCAGTCAGGCGCTTTGGCAAGTGTGTCAGACCCCAGTGCTCTGCCCTCAGGAGGCTGGGAGGGTGGGCTGTACTCACTTCCCATGTGTCTCTTCTTCCAGAACCCATAGACCAGGATCAACATCACAGACACTGGGAGGAAGATCAGCATCCCCAGGAGAACAGTGGGATACGAATCCTGGTGCCTGAAGGGATGGGACAGAGCAGGGAGGAGGTGAGCACTCAGTTGCCCCCACCCTGACCCATGTCTTTCTGCATGCCCCATGAGAGGAGCCCAGACCTGGAGAAATCTTCACAGCCCTGGTGGGAGTGTTTGCCTCCCTTTCTTGGGGACCCAGCTGTGGCAGGAGGAAGTGAGGAGCTCAGAGGTCAGGGGAAGAAGTCCCAGGTGGAGGGGGGCATCTTTCCACTTTAAAGCCTCCCCTCCATTGTTCCCCCAAACATGACTGTGCATCACTGAGGATGAGGACTCTAAGAGACTCCCATTTGTGACAGATGAGACTGAGAGTCTTGCTCTCATAGAGAGAGCCTCTCCTTGTGGCCCTTCCCTTCTTTGTCCTCTGAAGCAGATGCGGTAGGTACATGGCCTGTATCCCCTTGCACCAGCCCTCAGCACCTCCATCTAAATTTTTTTCAGCCTGAGGACTTTCTCCTGTTCCTAGAGCCCTCATTGCTACCCATGGCAGGCAGCCCCCGACTGATGACCAACACGAAGAGTGTTGGTGCAAGAGAAGCTGTATCAATACCCCAGCTCCCTCGCCCTTCACCTGGGAATCTGCTCCTGGGCCCCAGAGCCTCCCCTAGGCTTGAGCTCCGCTGCCCACAATGGTGGCCAGCTTGATTAAGTTCTCTACCAACTGTTCCTTTTCTCCCTTCCCCATGCTCTTTCCAGTACTCCTGGTCCCAGAGGCTGCTTCTGGGGGAGCCCAAATTAAAGCACCCACCATTTCCCACTTCCTACCCCCAAGCCACATCCTTGTCCTGCCCGAACCTTCTCCTCTCCATCCACAGACTCATACACTAACCCGTCCCCAACCCTCACTTCTCACTGCCATCCTTTATGTCACATCTCCATCCTGGCATCTGGCCTCCCACCCACCTCCCATTCAGCAGCAGGCCAGACTGACTTCCTGCAAAGGAAAGCTCTGCTATAACATCTGCACCTTGAGGTCTGTTCAGGCAGCAATTACTGTTGCCTTATCTGGTCAAAAGTCACCCAAGCCCAGGACCCACAGGTACCTGATAGGGGATAATTTGTTGAGGAGAGCCCCGCTAGTGTGGCACATTCCTGTGGTGGGTGATCTGGTGTGCAGGTGCCCAGCCCTGGTGGACATGGAAGCTGGGCCAGCAGAGGAGGCTCTGGCATCACTGGGAGACACAGTCACTGTCTGGGATTCCACGGTCCTCCTGGGCCCTGCGGCGGAAGGGCCAGTGCCGGTGAAGCTGAAGCCCGTCATGGAGGTCAGTCTGATGGACTCTGAGGCAGTGGAGGGCACGAGTCTGGTCAAGGTGAGGAGGCCAGGTGTGAGCACTGTCATGCTGGTGGTGAAAGGAGCATCAGGGCCTGAGGTGGAGGCTGGGCCCGATGTGACAACAATTCCACTCTTGAGGATATTGGCCAGAGGTCTAAGAGGAATGCTTCTCTTGGTCGTGGAGGCTAAGGGGCCAGAGAGAAAGGAACGTTAGACTGAATAGGGGGCCTCACTGATGGGAGCAGATCCTCGTCTCCCCTCCTTGACCTTGGACCCAGGATTCTGCTCTGCTGTGTGGCCAGATGTGGGTTTGCCAGGGAGAAGAAGTGGGCACAGTAAAGAAGGAAGAGACTCTCATAGTTTCTTTAGCCTACCCTGTCAAGCCAACTCCCCTCCCAGTCCCCATCTCTCTAGTTGCTTCCAGACCCTCTGGATTGAGGATTCCTGTGCGCCAAAGAGATCTCTTCACTATGATGTTGAACAGGGACTTTTCCAGGTGCTCCATAATTGGTGACCAAGGTACAGAAATGAGGACAAGGAAGCATCGAAGGCCCACATTCCAAAGAATGCCTCCAGCAGCAGGGTCAGATGCTCTCCTTAGGAGCTTACGAAGAGACACCTACTCCTATCATCCATCCCCTCAGCCTTTTACCTCCCATTTCCTAGGAGGCTGGCATTGGATGGTGGAAGAGGAAGGGGTTGTAGGAAGCTTGAGGTCCCATCTGGGGCAGTGTGGTGGAGTCTATCTCCACAGAGAATGAGAGAATTGGAGAGAGATGGTGGGGGAGAGAGAGGGCTGGCACAGGCTGCCGCATCCCATGACTGTGCATGGCAAGGACACACTCCTGAGGGCCAAATGGCCACCACGAAAGGTACCCCGATCTTTCTGGGCAAGGGAACCCAGAACAAGTGGCATTGGTGACAGTGGGGATAGGGGAAGAGGCTGACCTGGAGCCAGACCTCCCTTAACACCCTACTCAGCAGTGGGGAGACCTCAAAGACCCTTCAGAGAACTCACGTGTAGGTGACTTGGGAGAGCCAACATTTAGACACCCACCTTACAGAGGATCGCAAAGGGCTGGGTAGAAAAGAGTAACACCCAACAGAAAGAGAACTACAGCGGCAGTGAAGTCACACAACCGCTTCCCTTTCTTTATTCCTGCCTCAATGCACCAGGGGGTTGGAAGGAGAAAGCAGGACGAGGTACTGAGAAGAACCCCACCTTCCCCACCCGCCAAGATGAAGGAGAGGGAGTTAGGCAGCAGGCTACCCTCTTCCCTACTCTGGGTGGCTTGGGCCATAACGTGTGGTCTTCAAGGAGGAGTAGAAGAGCATATATTGCTAGAAGATTAGAGTTTTTACATAGGCTGAGGATTTTTTATTTCCTAATAACTGAAAAGGTCTGCAAAGTTGGCATCTCCCCAAATGGTCTTTAAAAGGTAGACCATGGGATTTGACAATGGAGGGGGTGGGGGATATGCAAAGAGAAAAACAAAACCATTTCATGTTTGTATCCCTGCAAATTAAGACTTCGATATACTTGGTTTCAACTATTCCCTGGGTCTAAAGCAGAACGGGAGAGGGGGAATGAGATTTGGCCCCACATCTTAGAGACAGCAGTTGCCCTAGCTCAGACACAACAGAAGAGGGGGATGCAGGTGGGTCAGGGGAATGGGGCAGGGTGGATAACTCATGTCATCGTCATTGGCTGCTTTTTTCAGATTCTCTTGCTGGTTCCTCACCCTTTCCTATCGTATAAATGTGGAAGGACCTCAGGCTTGGCCCTTCTCTCTTTTTCTATACTGAAGGGAGAACTTTTACATCCCCTTGATTTTTTAACAGCTTTTTTGAGATATTATTCACATTCCATATACCACACCCATTTGTAGCACCAAATTCAATGACCTCTAGTATATTCACAGAGTCGTGCAGCCACCACCAGAGTCATGCAGCCAGTCAATTTTAGAACATATGCATCATCTCCAAAAGAAATCCCCATCCCTTGGCTATTACCCTCTACCTCCCTTTCTTTTCCCCCAGCCCTAAGCAACAACTAATCCTCTTTCTGTCTGTATAGATTTCTCAAATCCCCTAGACTTTAAACTATCTTCCCAGAGGGGTGCCTGTGCGGCTCAATCGGTTAAGCATCTGACTTTGGCTCAGGTCCTGATCTCAGGGTTTTGAGATCCTTGTTCCTTGTCCCTCTGGCTCCCTGCTCCGTGGGCAGTCTGCTTCTCCCTCTCACTCTGCCCCTTCCCTCCCCTACTCATGCTTGCTCTCTCTCTCTCTCTCAAATAAATGGATAAAAAAAATCTTTAAAAAAAGAACCAATAAAAATAAACTATCTTCACAGAGATACTTCCAAGTATATCCCCAGCTCTGACCTCTCACCTGAGCTCCAGGCTGATATATTCACGCTGATCCATTTGCCCACCTGGAGTTCTAGGAGGTGTCTTAAACTTAACATGACCAAAGACAGCTCTTGATTTTTCTCCTCCAAACTGGCTCATCTCCAGAGTCACCCTACCCAATAAATGGTAGTGTCATGCACCTTGCTGATGGAATAGAAAACCTTAGAGTCACTCTCGATTCCTCCCTTTCGTTCACCTCCTGTCTTACCTCCAAAGTGTACAGGGTGGGCAGGAAGTCTGAACATCACAGATTTGAACCCTTCCACTTCTCTCCACCTCCAGGGCCCACGTCCTACTTTAAGACACTGTCATTCCCAGCCAGAATACCCACAGTGGTTTCTCTGCTCATCTTTTACCCTTCCACAATCCATCCTCCACACAGCAGCTGTTATAATCTTAAAGACAAGCCACAACACACCCCTGTAAACTCTCCAATAGCTTCCTATTGTACTTAGAATAAAACTCAAACTCCACATCATAGACTTTAGGGCTGCTCTCCCAACCTCATCTCCTGCCACTGTGTCCCACACTCAATATGGGGCAGCCACACAGCCCTGCCTTATACAAGCCCAGCTCTTTCTCACCTCAGGGCCTTTGCACATGCAATTCTCCCTGCCTAGAATATGAAGCACCCACATTTCAAGAGGGCTAGAAAGCTCTCCTCATGCTAGGCTCTGCTTGATGTCATCTGCCAGGGAGGTCCTCTCTGGTCTCTGGTGCTTCAATAGCTCCCCCACCACTGAGTTACTTTCTAGTTTGTCACACTGTTTGATTTTCTTAAGAATTTTCTTTAAGATTTTCTTTAATCTTAAGATTTTCTCTATTGTTATCTACAATTATTCGTCTGATGATGTGCGATCACCTGTCATCTCTCATAGGGCAAGAGTGCGTCTAGTCCCTGGCACAGAGTTGGGACTCAATATATATTGAACAGATGATGGAATAAAAACAAAGCACAGAGAGCCCTAAGTTTGAATCTTGTCTCTGCCACTTGCTAGCTCTGTGACCCTGGGCAAGTTCAGATCCACAGAGGGCTTTTTAGATCTCATTTTCTTCATTGGGAAAGTGGCGGACAATAATGCCCATGAAGATGTCAGTAAAGGAACCATGAGAACCCTGTGGCACAACACACCCATTGATGGATGATTCTTCTCACTACTCTGCTGCAAGTGGAGTACAGGGCAGGGAGGACACCTTTACCCTCCCAGTGCCCTGGCAGGCCTGCTCACCTGGAGACACTTCCAGCAGGAAGCCCATCAGGGGGTACAGGGTCCCAGAGCTATTGCGCATGCACCAGTACCGGCCGGAGTCCTGGTGCCTGAGGGCCGCCATGGTGATCTTGACCTCCTTGGCCTTGGCATCATCCTGCAGCAGGTAGCGCGGCCCCTGCACCCAGCCCCGGGCAAATCCAGGCTCACATCTCTTCCTCCTGATTTTGCACCATACCTTGCCCTCCACGTGGTTTTTGCGGCTCTTATAGGAGCATTGCACAGACAGAGTCTCCCCTTCAAAGTGCTGCACTTTAGTGTACACGTTCTCGACAGGGACACCTGGGGAGACACTGCTGGTGAGCAAGGTCTGGTGACAGAGGGGGAAAGAGGCATCTGGAAGGTCGGGATAGAGGGGAGAGGAGGTGGATACTGTCCTGCCGTCATGGAACTCAACAGTTTCAGGGAGAAACACAGCCCTACTCTGAAAGAATTCCCCCCCGCCATCCGATTAGAGGAGATGCACGGGCCCTGCTAAAAACTAGCTCCCAGTCTGAGGGGGGAGACACAGGCCACTCCCTCAGGGAGCTTCCAGTCTGTTGGAGTAGACACTAGTCCTGCCCTCTGGAAGTTCCCAATCTCATGAGAAAGACAATAGTCCCATGCCCTTGGGGGAGTTCTAGGATGAAGATATAGGGCTAGCCCTCAAGGAACTCCCAGTCTGATGGTGGAGACACAGGCACAGCCCCCAGGGAGCCCCCAGGCTAATGGAGGAAACTCAGCCCTTACACTCAGGGAGCTCCAACTGACACAGCCCCTTTTTTCATGGTATTTTCTAGCCCAATAAGAAGGTACTAGCCCCATCTTCAGGGTTTTGTGGGAAAGACCCAGGTCTTGTCCTCAGTGAGACAGATACACAGACACAAACAGAAGTCACAAAGTTATAAAATTCCAGAGCACAAACAACTTAGATAGATAAGAAAATCCAATATTTGAAAAAATGAAGAGTAGTTATTTATTTCACAAATAAGTTCATCATAGTTATCTTTTAAATAGCAAGTTGTCGTAGTTCATTTTAGGTATTATTTCATTTTAAAACATTCTAGTTGCATAAAACCCAGAGATTAAAAATGACCAAACATGCATGTAAGTTCCCAATGGAGTGCAAACCGAAGAACTGTACAATTATTCACTTTTCGTCCACATCCTGTTACAGTCTCTGCCTAGAAATAAGATGTGGTCCGTGCATTTCACAATCCACAGCTGGTGGGGAGAGAGTAGAACTAGGGTGGGGGTGGGGAATCAGGGGACAGGGAGAGGGACAAAGCTATGATGGGCTCCCTCCACGCCACTGCCCTCCATGCCTCAGCACTTACTCCTCTTACACCCCCCAGAGCCTGCCTCAACACACACACACACACACTTACACACACTCGCACACTCACACACACTCACACACACTCACACACACATACACACTCACACTCACACACACACATTTCTCCCCAGCAGGACAGAGTGCAGAGCACACATTTTGAAGTCTAAATAAATATGGGTTCAAACCCTGGTTCCGCCGTGACTAACTGTGTAAGTAGACCCCATAAGTCTGTTTCTTCATCTGCCTCAGGTTGGCTGTGGGAACTGGGCTTCAACAGTGCCTGGAAGGTAACTGGGGCTCCACGTGCTTCCTTTTCTCAAACGCAGGTGGTTACAGACTTCTCCAGTAGAGCCCTGAGCTGCGATAGCCAAGGACACCACACATGACAGGAGACATCTACCTGCTTCCAACACAGCTGCACTACAGCTGAGGCTTGGGGTAAGGTAGCACCCTCTCTGAGCATCCCTTTGTCCCAAACAAACTAAACTGAATGACCCAACTCAGTGATTTGGTGGGTGGGAGGTTTGAGGGACCCCAGATTGCTCTGCACAGGAGACATACTTCTGCCCTGGCAGAGGGAAGAGGCTCTCTAGGAGAGGTGTGGGGTGGGGTGCCCTTGGGAAGGGTCTGTGTTCATTTGTGCCCACCTTCCACCCTCTCACAGGCAGTGGCCAGAACTGAACAGGAAAGGGTAACTTGGTGGCCATGGCAGTAAGGGAGGCAGGATTGGGGCAGGCCCCCTCAAGGGGCATTTAGTAGCTATGGGGTGAGTGAGGCCTTCAAGGATGGCTTCCCCTCAGGACAGGGGGTAGTGGCCCAAGCCACTTAGCCAGTTAAAACACACACACACGTGATGCAATGATTCATGTACGCACCAAACAGGGCTTTCTTGACAAGGAAAAAGCCTTTTTGGGGGAGGAAATCAAGTGTCCATGGTCGGAGGTCCTGACCAAGGCTGGCAGTTGAAGGGGCCCACCCAGAGAGGGTCCAGAGCTTAATCCTAGTTTGTGAGTCCTGTGTTAGCTTTGCCTGGGGCCAGATAGTGGGACGTGACCTTCTTACTGGTAAGGAGCCACTAGGTCAGCCCCATCTCTGCCTTCTCCTCCAACCCCACAAGGCATGAAATGAGATTACTGGGCAAGGAAAAGCCGGGAGGGAGAGTCCTGCAAAAGGCCATCCCCTCCTCCCCAGCCAGCTCCTCTGCGCTCTCACCTGAAACAGGGCCCTGGAACCACAGCAGCGGGGGCAGCAGCAGCAAGAAGGTGGGAGCCATGGCTCCATCCAGCTGGGGACAGTCGCAGGCCAGCCGGGGGCCAGGACACCTCGAATCCAGGGTTAGGGGCCCAGGCCAACGCAGGATGTGCCAGTTAGGTCTGCCAGGGAAGGACCTGGCGTTCTGAAAGTGCAGTTGCCCATTTAGGGAAGTGAGGAAGTTGTGGGACCCACTGTGATCAGCCGACCGCGGGCCCGCAGAGCCTACGGAGGGCGGTGCTGGATGCTGTTTACGCCCTCTTCCCCGAAACTTCAGGCAGGTGTGGCTGCTCCACCCAGTCGGCCCCCCACACCCCGCCCCCCAGCCCAGGGAAGGTTCTTGGGGTCAGAAGACTTCACATCCTCTCCAGTCCCCCCCTGGAAACTGGCCCGGTGGGGGTGCCTCCTAGCCTGAAGCAGAGGATTGGTGTAGGGGGCTGGGGTGAGTTTTCTGGACCCTCAGCTGCGGACTCCCTGGGATTCCCTGGGCTCAGAGACCCAGGGATAGGGGCTTGGGGCTGGGACAGGGCACCTTGGATCCTAGGTTTTCACAAACACACATTTGCAAGGAGGTTCTTGTCAACTCCATTGATTCATCCACTCAGCCCTCACTGATGCGCTCCTTATGGTGCCCGGTCTCTCTTGCCAAGTTCCTGGCTGGCCAGAGCAGTCCCTCTCGCTCACACTGGCAAAGAACCCCTTCCGTGCTCCCAGACAATCTTATTTCTGTCATGGTTAGAGTGACAGGGACAAAAGATGCAAATTGTTAAGGCTCAGAGCATAGTTTGGGCTCAGGGAGGGGCTTCTGTGCTGTCACACGTGAGGGCGTGTGCGCGTGCGCACACGCCCCCCCCAGCTGTCTCTCCTTTTGACTACTCACTTGTCTCCTTATCTTTATCCCTCTCTCCCATTCTCCTACCATCCCGTCTAATCACCCACCAGCTCGCCCCCGCCCCCCGGCGCCCCGCCTCTTTCTCGCTGGCTTCCCCTCCCCCGCTTCTCCAGAAGCCACGCCCCCAGCCCCTTGGCCCTGGGCCTGGCCCCCTGCCGCACGCGCATACCCACTCAACTTCCTCTCACTCAACCCTATCTCGCCCAGACAGCCGCCCGGCTGCAGCCGAAATGACCCAGCATTTGGCCCAAGACCCCACCCTTCACTCAGTCCCGAGCTCTAAGAATTAGAAGGATAGACTTCTGACGTCCAGGAGCTGTGTCATCTGCTCACTGGGGGCGAGGGGGGCCTACATGATTAGGTATGCTCCCCCTACTCACCTATGCCAACTTTCTTCTCCTTAGACAGAACTCAGAGTAAGTCTTCAACTGAGCTTGAACTCGCAAATCCCAAAACAAAGAAGCTTGATCTTTGCTGATTCCAAACTTTCAGTCTCTTAACTTACTCTCCGTTCATTCATTCGTTCGTTCGTCTTTACTGTCTTATGCGCCACTCGAGGCGCCAGGTATATGGGGTAGAGGAATGAGCTATAGTTGTCACTTCAGACCTCTCAGCTCCCAGAAGACCTGTTGCACTTTCTTTATTCACCCTTCCTGTTTAATATGCCTTCCCAGTGCTCAGATCCCTGCGTTGAAAGGCTCTCTGCCCTCCCAACACATCTTCCTTCCTTCCTTTCCTCCATCCCAGTGGTAAGTGGCTTTAAGAGTGGGGAGTTCTATTTACTTCTCGGGGGGACTTATTGCCTGGAATCACAGTGATAACTGTGACGATAAGGCCATAAAAACCCAACACTCTCATTCCACTGAGAGAGGAAATATAAACTGGATTCAGTGTTTCTTGAGGGAAATTTGGAAGAATTTATCAAAAACTCTAAAAATGTGTATACATCAGGCTTTTATGTACAAGACGATTTAACACGGTACTATATTTTTTTCTTTACATTTATTTTCCCATCAAAAAACTAAGGTCTAATTTACATAGAGTAAAATAACCCTTTCCAGGAACAAAGAAAACTCCAGACTCAATTTTCTTCAACTTCTTTAGTGAGCTGCACCAAATACTTAAGATGGAATAACACTGATGTTACAGAAACAGTTGAAGGTAGAAAAGGAGACATATCCCAACTTGATTTGTAAAGTCAGAATATCCTTGACACTAAAACCTGACAAGGACATTATAGGAAAAGAAAAGCACAGATGTGCGTGCCTTATGCACATAGATAGAAACATCTCTAACAAACCATAAGTAAATCAAAACCATCAATGTATATAATAACATAAAACAATATGACCAAGTAGGGTTTATCTCAGGAATGTGACCTATGTTCAACACTTGAAAATTAGTCAACCTAATTCACAACATCACCGAAATTAAGGACAATTATGGGATTATTTCAATAGATGCAGAAAAAAGCATTCGCACTAATCCCCCCACCCCCACCCCCACCACCACCAATTCTTAATTTAAAACTCTCAGAAAAGCAGCAACAGAGGAGAATGTCCTGGCTTTAATAAGGGACATTTATCAAAAACCTACCTCTAACATTATATTTATGGCAAATATGTTGGCTGCATTTCCCTTAAGATCGTTTGTGGTGGATGAGGATTCTGAGAGCTCAATGCCCTGGCCTTGCTGGATGTTCAGTGTTCTGAATAGGACTCTGGGCTTTTCTTGTTTTATGGATGTGATATCTTCTTCTGTTCCCTGAAACATTTATCTTTCACTCACAGGCAATTATCCTGTTTGTTCAATGTGATTTTCTCTTAGACTATGAATTTCATCATGTATAGAGCAGACAGAATAATGGATCTTGGTTGTCACATTTTATTTGTGGACAAAGCATTTTGGAATAATTGTCTTCTGCTCACATTTTGGGCTGCCAAGGCATCTGCTTTTGCCATGTTGATTGCATCTGATTTTTTTTTTAACTTCTAGGAATTCCTCAGTTTTTGGTCTGCTGATTACAACCTTTCTTATTTTCAATTTAACAATTTATTTTGGAGTCATTTTTTAGCTTTTTTAACATATTTGAAGTGGGAGGAGAAGAAAGCTGGTGAGATTCGTGTGCCATCTTGCTCAGTTTCCCCCTACATATTTCAGTTCAAGGACTTGCATTTGAGCACAAGAGAAAATACATAGGAATTTCAGGTAGTGCAGAGGCAAGAAACAGAGGATAGTGAGGAAGTGAGGTAGGTGCCCAGCTGAGGGGGTAGTGAGAGAGGGCAGGAATCCAGGGAGAGAAGGAGCAGGGCTGAGGTGGGGCAGGGTGCTACCTGGGGGTCAGCCCAGGGAGCAGAGGTGTTGATCAGATGCAGAGAAACTGTCCATGGGTGATCAGCCTGGAGGAGTTGGGGCATGGTTGTTTTAATTGACATTTCTTAGATTACTAACAAGTGTGAACATCACTTGCTTGCCTTCTGGATTCTCTCTCCTGGAAATTGCGTTTCACATGTTCTACCCGTTTCCACTGGGATTCTTCTTCTTGTTGATTGGCATGGCTCCTTGTATATTATAGATTGTATTGCTATATTACTTTTAGATATTTTCAGCTAATTTTTTCCAGTCTGTCATCTGCTTGGTAAGTTTTCCTATGGTGTTATTCAATGAGCAGAATTCCTCAATTTTGATGTAATCAAATTAAATATTTTTTTCCCTTACGATTTCTGCCTTTGAAACTTTGTAGAAGTACTTCTTCATCCCTAGGTATTCATCTGTAGGGTTTTTTCCTATTAACTTAATAATTTTATTTTTCACATATATGTCTTGAATCTGTCGGGAGTCCATCTTTGTGTTTAATGTTAGACAAGGATCCAGTATTTGGGGTTTGGGGTTTTGTTTTGTCTTTTAATATATTCTGCCAGTTTTCTCAAGGATGTCTACCAAATAATGGGCCCTTAGCCCCATTTATTCATGGTGCTTCCTTATGATAAAGTATGTTCCTGTGTATATATGGAACTGTCTGGAATTATACCCTATGCCATTGTCTCATTTGTCACTTCTTGTTGTACCAGCACCACTAATGTCAGTTATATTACTTAGTATATCTTAATATTTAGTAGGATGAGTCCTATCTTTTTATTTTTATTTTTTTATGATTGACATAGTTATTCATGCATCTTTATTTTTCCATATAATTTTACAGTAAGTTTATTGAGTTCTTTAAAAAATTAAAGTAGGATGTGAGGGTGATCTGGCTGCGACATCTGTCACCCCATTGAATGCCAGGGTTGATTCAGCTGATTTGGCTGGCTAGACAGGTGTTCTCCTCCTCCCTCACCACTACCCCCCTTCCCCGCACCCACCTCCCCTTCCACAACCCTCAGTTTGTTTCCCAGAGTAAAGAGTCTGTCATGGTTTTTCTCCCTCTCTGATTTCTTCCCATTCAGTTTTTCCTCCCTTCCCCTATGACCCTCTGCGCTATGTATGTTCCACTTATGAGTGAAACCATATGATAATTGTCTTTCTAAAGAATATATGTTCTATTTACTTAACTGAGGACCCATATTTATATTGACTTACTCCTATTGCTCCCTTAAACTTATCATTATCTACATTATTTTCTTTCATGAGACAAGTACTTGCCAACCTTTCATGGTCTTCTGGTCTCTCCTTCTCACCACATGTTGATGTTGTCTGGAATGTTATTTTTCAGTTGTCATGGATATATTTTCTCTTTTTCTTCATTTTGGTTCTAGCTGCTTTTTTTTGTTTGTTTGTTGAAGAAAAAAAATAGATTTATCAAGGTGCTTGATCACACTATTTCTTCACCTCTTGCAGCATCTTCTGGATTTGTTTTGAGTATTTCCTCCAAGTGTATTTTCAGTGGGGATCTTTGCATGTGGCAAACTCTGAGGCTTTCAAAGTCCCTAAGTATTATGATCACATATTTGAATGACAGTTTGGCTGGATATAAAATTCTAGGTACAAAGTTCTTTTTTTCAATCTTTTAATAATATTACTCAACTGTCTTCTGGCATCCAGTGCTCTTCTTAAGAATTCTAATGTAGATCTAATTCTTGTTCTTCTATAGGTGATCTGAAAGTCTTTAGAATTTACTCTTTGTCTTTGATGTTCTTACACTTCATATCATGGGTTTAGGGCTGTGTATGTGTATGTTTCCTATTTTCTCTTCTTGGCAATATAGAGTCTTTCTGATCTGAGATCTTTTCTTCTATAATTCTGAGAGGTTTATATTAATTTATTCTTCAAATATTTCTTCCCTTCCATCTTTTTTCTTTTGCAGGGATTATTGTAACCATATG